CCCCTCCCAGCGCCCCCAGTGACCCCCTGCTCTGTCCCTTTTCTTGCAGTGGCTCCATGAACCAGTTCACTGCCATCTACAACGGCAACGGGGAGCTGATCAACAACATCAAATACTACGATGGCTTCATGGGCCAGAGAGTGGGAGCCATCAGCTGCCTGGCCTTCCATCCTCACTGGGTCTGTGCCCCTGGGGACAGGGTGGCATGTCCTGGTGTCCTTGTGGGGCTGGGGGTGGCATGTCCCAATGTCCTTGTGGGACTGGGGATGGCATGTCCCAGTGTCCCTGTGGGGCTGGGGTGGCATGTTCCAGTGGAAATGGGGGATGGCATGTCCTTGTGGGGATGGCATGTCCCAGTGTCCCTGTGGGGTTGGAGGTGGCATGTCCTTGTGGGACTGGGGATGGCATGTCCCAGTGTCCTTCTGAGACTGGGGGATGGCATGTCCTTGTGGGGCTGGCATGTCCCAGTGTGCCTGTGGGACTGGGGATGGCATGTCCCAGTGTCCCTGTGTCCCTGTGGGACAGACACGTGTCACAGGCTGGGCTTGGTGGTCTCAGAGGGCTTTGGCAGCCGCTGTGACTGTGCCTGTTTGTCCCTGTGCTCTCCCTGGTATGACTGTCCCTGTTTGTCCCTGTGCTGTCCCCTCTGTGACTGTCCCTGTTTGTCCCTGTGCTCTCCTTGCTGTGACTGTCCCTGTTTGTCCCTGTGCTCTCCTTGCTGTGACTGTGCTCTCCCCGTGTTGTCCCCTGTGTTTGTCCCTGTGCTCTCCCCACTGTGACTGTTCCTGTTTGTCCCTGTGCTCTCCCCTCTGTGACTGTCCCCGTTTGTCCCTGTTCTCTCCCCACTATGACTGTCCCTGTTTGTCCCTGTGCTCTCCCCACTATGACTGTCCCTGTTTGTCCCTGTGCTCTCCCCACTGTGACTGTCCCCGTTTGTCCCTGTGCTCTCTCCAGCCCCACCTGGCCGTGGGCAGCAATGATTTCTACATCTCGGTGTACTCGGTGGAGAAGAGGATCAGATGACGGCTCCCGGTGAATTCCGAGCGGCTCCAGGGCAGGGCCTCCCTGTACATAGAGAAATCATCGACTTGAATGTTTCGTGTTGGCTGCTGCTGCACCCCATAACTTGAACATTTGTTCTTCTGACTTGCCTACTGATGGGTTTGACSAGGGGAAGAGACAATCTCCCGGGTTGGTTTTGTTTCGTTTTCCAGCTATATCCTCTAAAAGCTACAGAAAAGGAGCGTTTATTTTTGTTTCCAGTGGTTGGCTTCTCTGTCAGGAACACGGCTCCTGAGCYTGGAAGGACTTGGATGAGGCGACACCCTTGAGAAGGGTCTTGTTTTAGTCTTTGTTCCTTGTTTTGCTGGAGTTCTTGGAGGACTGTCAGGACTCTCACAGCTCCACGGGACCCTCCAGCTGCTGCCAACCCCRCATGGGATGTCCCTGAGCGGGGACAGAGAGGCACGGAAGAGTCTCCTCTGCATGAACCTCCTCCTCCTCCTCCTCCCTGCAGCGTCCTCTCGGCTGGAACAAGGACAGACGGGGACCTGGTGGCCTGGGCAGGCTGGCATCCTGCAGGATGGGCTCAGGGAGGTGACAGGGACAGGGCAGGGTGTCCCACACCGCTCAGCTGCGCCGTGGAGTGAGGAACACACGGGAGGAAAGAGAACCAAGATCTCCAACGAGCCTGGAGCGAGTCASTGGTGCCACCCACAGTCCCTGGTGCCACCCACAGTCCCTGGWGCCACCCACCGTGCTGCTGGCGAGCTGGGGACACCCCAGGCACTGTCCCCACTGCCACAGGAGCTCCACAGCCACATCTGCACCCGGCGAGGGATGGAGGCTCCAGTGCCCGTCCTGAGCTCTGTGTGCACCCAGTGAGGGGCACAATTTGGGCTGCACTGGCCATGTGGCCACCACTGTGGCTCCTCTGTCCCTTTGGAACCGCCTGGGCACGGGAGAATGGCCGAGGAGGAGGAGGAGGAGGAGGAGGAGGAAGGCAGAGGGTCAGTGTTCTGAGTGAAGCATCCTCAGCTCAGCTCTCCAGGCAAAGCCTGCTCCGTCTTCCACACGGGAAACATGAATGTTGTGTCCCTTGGGGTGGCTCTGCAGCCAATGTTGGGTCCCCAAGAGCCATCCCTGTCCCCCTGCCAGGGAGGGCCACGTCACAGGATAATGAATCAAAGGCTTTAAACCTAAAAACTACCTAAAAATCCACTTGTAAGTAARTTACCCAAAGTTAATTATGGTCTAACAGAGCTGTGCCTCTTCCCGACCCGCTCCCGGGATTGTCCGCGGGGGTGGAGCCAGARTTTGGGATCACACGTAACCCCTTAACATTCACAGCTTCGGAAAACAATAGATTTTTAACTCAGTATCAGTGTATTTGTGAAAGGAACAGGAAATTCTTGGCGAGAGGGGAAAGGGCGTGGTGGGAGCCGCTGCTCCTGCCCGGCTGCTCCCGCCAGGCTCCGCTGCAGCCCCGCGTCCAGGACCGGGGATTTTTAGGAATTTTGGGCAGTTGGGCTTTTACCTGAGCGTGTGTGGGCTGTGCTTCCACAGGTCTGATGCAGAGATTCAATCATGGAATCAARGAGTTTAACCAAGGATCTGGAGAGTGTCCTACCTTAAAAGTTCACTTATCTCTATTTATTTTACAAAAATAAAATTTAAAAAAAAATATATATATAAAACCCCCCACACACACGATTGTAATGTGAGAGTAAAATGATTACAGACAAATAAATGGTTAATAAAAAATAAATGCAGRAACACCTCGTGGTGTGAGGATCCTTTTGTGGGGCAGAAGGGATCCGGGGATGGAAGGAGCCCAGGGTGGATTTGGGGTTTGGGGCTCTGTGGGGTCTGGGCAGTGTCCCCAGGGAAAAGGGAACAGGCAGGTGACAGATCTGTGTGAGTGCTGGTGACAGACGTGTCCCAGGCTGGGTGGCTGCTCCAGGCAGTGCTGGGGAATGGTTGGACTCCACGGGCTCAGAGGATTTTCCATGATTCTGTGAAAGAATCGCTGCTGTCCTTGTAGCCCCCAACCCCTACAGCCCCCTTTCCATACCTCCAATAACCTATACCCCATTGCCTATTTTATCCCCATTCCCTGTTCTATCCCCTTTCCCTGTATATTTTATTTTATTTCCACCCCCTGTATATTTTACCCCATTCCCTGTATATTTTACCCCATTCCCTGTATATTTTACCCCATCCCCTGTATATTTTTTCCCTATTCCCTGTATATTTTAACCCATTCCCAGTATATTTTGTCCCTATTCCATATATATTTTATCCCATTCCCTGTAC